GCATGAATATGAGATTATTGAAAATACCATGACTTGGGTCAGGCGCACCGTAGTCCTCAAGCTGACATCGTTGCTCTTCAACACCAAAAAAAATAGACCCATTTAATAAAAATAACATTTATATTTTATATGTATAAAGAATGAAAAACTCCACAAGTTTCTTATATGTAACAAAAGAAAAATTGCTCTGTTTTCATATTCTATAAGAAGTAAAATTGTCCCAGTTCTCTAGTGTTTTTTTTATTTTCCCCTATTTGTCCCATAGGCTGTACTGGTATGACTCTTCCCATCCTTACCTGTTTCCTCTGAGATGCATCATACAGGTTTAATTTACCATTAATAATACCTAACTTTAAAACTCAATCCAAATCAAGAAAGGGTCATTCATACAAATTATAAATGGTAAATAGGCAAAGAACATGAATAGACAATTCTCCAAAGATATGAAATGGCCAACAACATATGAAAAAGATGTTCAGTGTCATTGTTGTTTTTAAGTGCCGTCCAGTCAGTTCCAACTCATAGCAACTCTGTGTAGGGTTTCCCAGGAGCAACTGGTGGGTTTGAACCACAAACCATGGGTCCAAATTGACCTTGCAGTCCAGCACATTATCCTGTAGTGCCACACCAGGACTCTTCATTGTAATTAGTCATCAGGACAATGCTTATCTAAACCACAATGAAATGTCACTTCACACCCACTAGAACAGCTATAACCTGTTTTTTTTTTTTAACTGAAATTAAAAAGTATAGTCCAAAGACAATGGAAAATGTTGAACTCAAGTCATTGCTACTGATAATGTAATACAGTTCAGCCATTGTGAAAAACAGTTGAACAGTTCCTCAATAATTTAAACAAAATTAACATATAATACAGCAATTCTACATACCCCAAGGAAATTTAAACAGGTGTTCAACCAAAAACTTTTTTTTTTAAAGTTTTTATTGTTAAATGAGTGATAATTTGCATGGAAGAACATCAGCTTTACACTCATCCTATTGTATTTCATTTCATGTAATGATTACAATCCCCCCCACCCCCATGCATCATTTTCAACAGTATTTGCTTCTATTCCCTCTGGGTTTTGGTTTTTGTTTTGTTTTTTATGTACAACAAAACGCTCAGGAATATGCAATCATTCAAACACTCAAAGGGCACACCCTGCAAGCCTAGTCCCTGGCTGCCAGCACACAGCCCACTCTTCCTTCTCCCTTGGTGTTCCCAGGGTCCTCTGCTCCTGAACTGCAAGATCAACCACTCCCCTCTTTTTGCTACAAAACCTCTACATTTACAGTTGCAACAATCGCCATCAGTCATGATAACAATTATTTACTATTAAACCGCAAAAGTCTTATCTCCATCTCCTTTCACCAGCCCCATCTTAGACAGGAGAAAACCACTCAGTGGAGATTCTACCTTCCCCCGCACCCTCTGAAACTAAACTCCCTCCTGAAAACTTGTAAGCCAGTCACTTTGTGCCTTTATAGCTCCCCCATTTTAGGTAGCCAATGTCTAAGTTGCCCATCCCTATCAACCCTGTGTACAGAGGGGATGGGAATTATTGTTACTGTGATGATTCCTTCCCTCTTGTCAACCAAAAAATTTTACTTTAATGTTCATAGCAGCACTGGTCACAATAGTCAAAAGGTAGAAACACCCCAATAGGAGTCCTGGTGTGGCACTGTAGGGTAAGAACTGGACCTAAAGGTCAGTTTGAACCACAAGGTAGTTGGTTAACAACAACAGAAACACTCCCAACTGTCTGACAAATGGATAAACACATGTGGTATATCCATACAATAGGATATTGTTGTTGTTGTTAAGTGCCATTGAGTCAGTTCAGACTCATAGTGACCCTATATAGGGTTTCTGAGGAGCCACTGATGAATTTGAACTGCCAACCTTGAGATTCAAACCGACCTTGTGGTCCACTGCTTATCTACAGCACCATACCAGGATTCCAATGGAATATTATTCAACTATAAGAAGGAATGCTACAGGACTTGGCAGTGTTTCTTTCTGTTGTGCATAGTATCACTATGAGTAAACAGCACCTAACAATAACAACAAAAAGAAATAAAGTACTAATACATGCTATATATGAAGAAGAAAGGCCATATTTGTTAGGGGTCATCAGAAAAGGAGATAATTGAAATGTCAAGCATGGGCCAAAGCAAATACAAACACACACACACATAAGGAAATACAATTTGTTTGAAAAAAACAAGAAACTGTTCAGTTTGTCTAGCTGAGTCCTAGACCCCTGTCTGAGCTATTTAGTGTTGCTGTAATATAAATACCACAAACGGATGGCTTAGCAAACCAAAATGTATTCTCTGCACAGGAGACTACAAGTCCTAATTCAGAGTGGTACCTCTCAGTGAAAGCTTTCTCTCTCTGTTGGTTTACAAGTTAGGAGGAAGGTCCTTGTCACCTTTCTACATGTGTGGATTCAGAGGTCCTTGGAGATGTCCAGGTGTTTTGGCATCAATCTTCACTGACTACAGGAGATTCTCAGCACAGGGAACCTGCCTCTTCTTTCTTAGTGGTTGAAGGTCATACTCTCTGCTC